TGCTATTTAGCCATTTTCAGAAAGGAAGAGAAGACTTTCTTCTGCTTCCCCCATTGCTTTTACTAGAGACGTGTATTTTTCTTGCCCTCCCATCCCCCAGAAAATGAGCTGTTAGGCCTTTTCCATCCTGAGATATAGACTGTTCCCAAAGTCTTTATCTTTTCTATTTTGCACTTTTATCTTCTCTGCGGAGGAGATTTTAAATCCTTAGGAACCCCTCTCCTACAGGCTAGCCCAAGTCTGCTCTGGCTAATTGGTTTTAATGGCATACCTTCCCCTCTGCTGCTCCAACAGGAATTCTTCTGTCCCATCTTGGTTCCAGACAAACACACATCTGCTGAATACTCATTTACATTTGACTCCAACATTGGCTCACTTCACTTTCTGTTTAGACACTATCAGTGCAGCTAAAGAAGCCAGTTTGTCTTCACGCTGCTGACTGAATCAGTTGCTCTGCACGGCAGCAGGGAAGATGATGATGAAAACCCTGGTGGGTAAGCAGGGGGCTTCACCCATACACTTCCATTCTTTCCCCTCAGCATTTCCTAACCTTGCTGACAGGCACACATAGCCATATTGAAGGTTTTTTCCTTACAATTTCATCAATAGACTACGAGAGGTTCTGAGCAAAGGACATAGTATTGGTTGCTGCTGCCATGTTTTCATCTTCTGTGGTGATCTCCACCACCAAAGACGGCCATGTGGTTGTAGCAAACCCATCATCCGCAGTGAATCCACTGTTATAGATAACCTTGGAACCTCTTTCACCGGGTCCGTTACTTTGTTGGTAACTTTGATTTTTTTCCTAGAACAATGATCCTTGGTTGTGGGATTGCCAAGGTTGCATCTGCTACTGCCCTGTTTCTCAACCTTGTCATCATCTGTGTTTTGATACCAGGCAGTAGGTTACCACACTGTGTCAGCAGCTACAATTTGGGTAGCAACTTTTTATGTCTGGACAGATCTTATCAGGAGGGTCAAGTATGAAGTAGCTGGATTTATTCTTTGGGAAATTATGTACTGGCACTCTCTACCTTCTTCATTTACATTCAGGTAGAGTAACTCTGGTCTCACCAACTGCTGGTAGGACTGCAAGACACAGCATCCAGCTGAAGGAGCTAAGGAGAGGTAGACAAGTTCTTATATGGAAGATGATGGCTCAACTAAGTTTAGTAATGAACTGGGACAGGACACCTTCTCATTACTGACTTCAACAGATTCTTTGGCACCCAGAGAATCGGTTATGTAGCAACCTCTGCCTTTGCCTTGCAGCAAAACCCTGGAACAGGAGCAGCACTTCAATTCTTCAATGCTTACTTTCTTAGCAGCATCTCTCGGGTCTTGTCTTCTGCAATCAAGCTGGCTCCTGGCATCTGTGACAGCCAAGGGACTCTTCATACACAGTACATGCCTACAGGAACTTTAAACAGGCTCTTGAATGGCACAGGCTTTTCTGATACTCTACGAGAAGTTCTGGCTAGATTGATGGAGAATACTACCTATCCCTACACACAGAACTGTTGGGACATACAGAAAATGCTTGCATGGATGTTACACCAGCTACCATCCAGTCTTCACCAGTGCACGGCTGGAGAGGCGAGATATGCTTCAGTGCTTCTGAAAATAGGACAAGTTATCCTCCTCGACCCCTAGCTTTGGCTGCCTTGTCAACTCTGGCTGATCATTGATTCCTTTTTTTTTCCTCCACATAGAAAAAAGGTAGGAAAAAAGCATATTATGTGCTTCCTAGTTTTGACTGACATCAATGCCTACAAGGTACTGCTAAACAAACTGCCTGCTGTTAGCACAAATATCCCAGATAACAAGGATTCAGCTCATCACCCTGGACATGTTCACAGCAGCCCTTGACTCTTCATTCCAGGATGCTTTTAGCTCAGAATCCATTTGCTGGCTGGTCCACGTCATTAGGATACAGAACGGTCTCATTTTTGTACACTCCCAGTGCCTACTTTGTCAGTAGAGAAGGATAACATCAGGCACACATACCTAGCAGCGGTTGGTTGGGTTTTTTTTCCCCTCCTTAATTTAGCATGAGCTTTAAAATTATAACAGAAATCTTCTAATTGCTGATGAAGACAATGCTAGAGAATATTATAGCATTCAAGGCCAGATTCTAGCAAAAGGAAATACAAGTACTATGCTAATATCATGATAGTCTGCAACATCACAAGGACCAAAATGAACAATATGCAGAGAAAAACAAGCTTCTCAAAATGAACAGAAACCAAAAAGCAGGATGTAAAGAAATGACAAAGTATTGGATTTCATGTAGAAATCAGAGTTGCTGGATTCAATCTTTAGCCTAAAAGCTACCCAGTCTGGAGACGCTCTTCAAATACATAAAACATGTTGTAAAGAAAATAGGGAACAAGCTGTTCTGTATGCCCACAACTAAGATAAAAAGAGGTTAAGATCCAGCAAGGAAGATTGAACTTTTCTTAATATCTACCTTAATACTAGTAACACCAAAGCCCTACAAGAACTTGGAAAAGAAGGATAATCTTTATCATTAGCAATTTCTTTCAGAGCAGACAAGTCTCTGTCCTGCCACGTATGGTCGAGATACAGCTGATCCTGCCACACTGTGGAATAAAAAACGAGATGAGCTTTTGCTTTCCATTCAAGGATTTCAAGATTTCAAACACCACTATTGTTCAGAAATCTTCCAATCGAGTATCTGAACTTTGGAGTCTTTAACCACAACTGTTTTTTGGCCAATCATGTTTTTGCTACCTCATGTTCCAGTTTTTAAAACGAAGTGAAAGACTTGCAAAGCCTACCAGTTTTACAGCATCTGAAAGCTGGTTTAACAATGCAGCAGATTTTTCTTCCTGCTATTTAGTTTGAAACTGCTAATGGCTCTTGAAAGCTCAGATTTCTATTCCAGTTGCTTGTGCAGGTATTAACCTCAAATGTCACAGCAAAGTTGAAAATGTGTTAAAAAATCTGTTCATTTTTTGAATATTGATTTTTGTAATTAGATTACTCCTTTTCCAAGCCTCCTTCCCTAATTTCCAAATTATGTGGAAGTTATTACTGCACGGCTAGACCAACAGACAAGAGAAACAGGTGCTAGGTCACTATACAAATAGCAGGTTATTCATGGAAGGGTCACAGAGGCATTTGGAGCAGCATCCTCAGGAGTTTTGACTGGGTTAAGACAGACTGTGCTGGGACAGGAGGAACAGCTCGATCAATACTTGAAGCGTGCCGTTGCCATTTGCAAGGCACAGGTTCAGGAACAGCACCTGTACCCAGACAGGCGGGCAGCAGAGGCTGTAGCTCACAGGGCACTGTGTACCCAAGACTTCTGTTGTGAGCGCTCCAACGGCCTCCATCAGACCTGCGCTCCTGCAGCACGACTTGAATTTAACTGAACCTTTCCTCAGAGCTGCAGCATCAGGCTCCCGCTCTCCAGGCTGAACAGGAGGCTTGGTTGAGTGGAAACACATGGCACCTTTCTTCCTTAAGGAAAATCATAATAGATCACAGTCTCGTACCTCTTACAATCTTGCTAACACATCTTGTGTTATAACTGGATGTACTGCCTTACCTGGGAAAAGGCAGCATGACAGCCTCCCAAGTCCCAGGACTGGTATTTGGGCCCCTTGCTGCATGATTGGCCCTTCTGGCACCTTGACAGCACAGCAAGAATGTGAACATTTCCGCCTTTGGGCACTTAACTTTTAGTACCCAGCTTCTGCAACAGATGCACAGTCCGAGACAACGCACACCACCATCCAGGACCCAAGAAAGCCGGCACACTGGGCCGGGAGGCAGCTCAAACAGGCAGAAGGAAAACATTTTAAATCAACTGCAGCCCAAGAGAATGAAACGTTAAGTATTTTTCCTGCACTCGAGAGCTTGTGGCTGTGATTTTTCAGTTGGGTTCATAAACACTTTATTTGCAAAAGAGGAGATAGCCTGGTTTTCTTTTAGCCAGGGAGATCGAGTCCCTTCTTTACCTCACGGGACCAAAACTCTCTTCTCTACCTCTGAGGAAAGTAGCCTGGGTTCCAGCTGTACCACGAGAGATACCTTTTGCCTTAGCCAGCTGTTGCCTGCTAAACACCGTAACTGGCAGTCCCTTTGAGGACATTTTTACTTGCTAAGAAAGGAGTCGTGAGCATGTTTTTCTGAACCCCTCCTCACAACACTGCTTGCCTCGCATTCAGTGTTGTGCCAAAGCTGTAGCTCCGCCGTCTACATTATCATTCCTAAGTAATTTCTGAAACAATCTTGAAGGGTAACTCAAACTGAGTTGCACACTGGGAAACTACTTATTAAAGGAAGTACTCTCAATTCTTCCACCGATGCCTACAATAGCTGTACTCAGTATAGACTTGACATTGAAAAATATTAAGCACATTTAAATACAAAACTGAAATGAGTATTTACTACAAGTCATTATTAGCATGTGGTGGCATCCCTCCAAACCAACCAACCAAATACTACTTTAGCAGGTACATTTACAACCCTGTAAGCTGGAAGTTGTTTCAGATCTGAAGTTATTTCAAACTACAGCTAGTCAGGCAAAAGTCCCTACGTGCTCCTCTTGACTTAAGAGGAAAAAGCCTAACAGATTTGCCCCTGCCCAGCTTTATTGATTTGCAAGGAAAAGATGCACAGAAAAGTCTAAATGTGTTTACAGAATATATCCTTCAAGGCAATGATTACTGTCCTTACCCTCTCTTGCGATGAGCCCATGGATAATACCACACTGAGCAACATCTGTTACAGGTAAGCCAATCACAGTAGCAGAGGAAAATACTGCTACTAAGAAAACCTACTGAGTATTAAGCATTCCTTTTCACAGAAGAAATAAAGTACAAATTCACAGTTCCCTTCCTTTAGCTGTGGGGAAAAAAAAATTGACTTTTTTTGTTTAAATCTGATGCAGATTTTCCCCTTTCAAAAAAAAAAAAAAGAAGAGTTCAAGAGTTGACACTGTCACACAAAAATTGACACTTCAAGGTTATGAACAAACTATGTTTAATCTAAACCTAGTTTACAGTTGCATCAGAGGAAGAACACTTTCAGTCTTTCCAGTAAACAAATGCAGCAGAAGCTATGTCTGTGTCAGCAAGTAATTCAGTATGATAGGAGTGGATCCATAAAATCAAATAGTTGATGTTCAACCTCTATACCTACAGTCTGGAAATTTGAAGGCCAGGTTGAGTCTGATCCTCCAGACATCCTCAATGCATAGGTGGTTTCAAGCTGCCTGAAGGAAACCACTGCTATGGGCTCACATCACCATTAGGAGCTAGAGGGCATTTGGTGCACACCCAGAGCACAGTTCCTAGTTCAGATTTCTCCCAAAGGAAGTGAACTCAAAGCACCAAAACTGCTTTGTCAGCCAAACCAGTATGTGCCAAGCGGGGATGAGAGGGGGATTTACTCCCAAACTGCACAAACTACATCACTGCCGTAGATGCAGCTGGAGTCATCCCCTAAAGAGAACACACCTAGTAGGATGTTCAGTCTCATTCAATACTTTTAACCCTGGGCTGAATGACCATTTACTAATGAAATGCGTTGCAGTGTTCCCAACTGAACCAGCCGGCAGAATTGCTTTCAGTGTATAGAGCATAAGCAGCAGTAGGGATGTAACCAAAAGTACAAGGATTTTAAAGTTTCATTCTACCTGCAGTATGAATTAAGACAGACATACAAAAAAGGGGCTGCTCAGAAGAACTTGAAAGCAGAGTTGTCACTCCTGTTGCAGATGTTCAGAAAGAACAATTGCTTACTCGCGTAAGTTAAAAATTCCTTTGTGTGAAGGGGCACTAAGATGCACAAGATGTATTACATGTCATAAATGCAAGCATTTTACAAGTCCATATTACAAGCCATAACGTCTAGTACATCAACATTCCACAATACAAAGCTTGTCTTTATATTTAAAAATAGAATATAAACAAATAGTAATTCACATTAAGACAATTGCCACAGCAAAATTTCTCAGAGAAAGTGCTTTACCTACACAAAATACCCTAAAGCCGGATTTTAAAGTTTCATTCTACCTGCAGTATGAATTAAGACAGACATACAAAAAAGGGGCTGCTCAGAAGAACTTGAAAGCAGAGTTGTCACTCCTGTTGCAGATGTTCAGAAAGAACAATTGCTTACTCGCGTAAGTTAAAAATTCCTTTGTGTGAAGGGGCACTAAGATGCACAAGATGTATTACATGTCATAAATGCAAGCATTTTACAAGTCCATATTACAAGCCATAACGTCTAGTACATCAACATTCCACAATACAAAGCTTGTCTTTATATTTAAAAATAGAATATAAACAAATAGTAATTCACATCATTAAGACAGCCACAGCAAAATTTCTCAGAGAAAGTGCTTTACCTACACAAAATACCCTAAAGCCTACCAAGCAAGCTCTAAAGTTCTCCAATTTAAAAAGGGGTAGCGGTAGAAACAAAAAAGTGCAAGTGACATCCAAAATTTTGAGAGAAATCAAGAACTCCAGATGTGCCATGTGCCTCAGCTGATACTCAGGTCAACTTCATCTGGGGAGTCATTACCCCTAAATATGATACAGCATACCATTTTGAAAAAGTAACAAATAGTTGATTTACTTATAAATTGCTTTATTGAAGCTATAACTTAATAAATTTAATGTTCAAGGTGTAAAATTATCTCACAGACTAAAAATTAACACAACAGGAAGAAATATAAGTAATACAAATCTACTTACGTCACCCTACTGGTAGAATTGAACCTGTAGGATGCTATTCTTTGAAGATAGGGAATTAAGACTATCACAGGACTGAATAAACAGAGAGGGAAACACAGTAATAGAGTACTTCACAGTAAAATAGCTCTTTATTAGGAATATATTTAAAACTAGCTTTTTATTTCAGGTAAGAAAAATAGCATTCTGACTTTTCGCCAGTGCTGATTCTGGTCATACGCAATATTCTAACAGCTAGAAAAGTTATTTGCGCTGTTGTTGCCCATTAACAGTTCTCCTAACTGTCCATTCACTGTCTTATTTTTAGCGCGTTCTTAAATATGTTGAAGAAATTCTTCAAACAAGGTTTGTATTTAGATCTTAGTTAAGACTGACAGACTGACTTGACAGTGACTCAGCATCTGTTATTAGCTCATATACAGCTTTTATAAGCCTTCTTTTAAAGAACAACACGGTTCAACAGCTGATCTACGAAGACAATTAAGAGGGCAACTCTCCAGGAAGACTGTGGTAGAACAAATCCCATTCTTCTACTACAGAGTTTAGTACTGTAAAGTAGCAGCAATTTCAAGAACTGCAGTTAATTCTATACCCCTTTATAAGACAGCACTGAAGAACAGAACATAGGGGTATTGCTATTACAATTCAAACAGTAAACTACTTTGTGTGTACATTTTTATACCTAGTACAAGTCTAGACTCTTTCTCTTGCTATGCTGTAACTTAACAGTTTAAGATAATTAATTGGATCATGCTGTAAACAAAGATATAAAACCTTTGTGTAAGCTTTACTGGTTTAGGAGTGTGCATAAATACCTGCTTTCTAAAAAAAGCTGTTCAGTTTTCCATCATAAGCATATAATTAGGTAGCATATTTTAAAACAGGTTTTCATCCAATTAAAAATGAAATCTATGCATTTCGCAGAAGTGCTATACAGCATTTGTAATGAAGTCTGGTTTTAGATACCTGATGTCCATTTTCAATACGAGATATCTCAGACAGGGAAAGTATTCTCCAGACAAATGTGTTATTTTTGGTCTTGTAATTTCTTCCATCCTCTGTAGCCAATATGAAGCTAAAAGATACCTGTTTTAAGTAGACTTCCATATGTAGATGTTTCTTAAATGCAGATGGAAACAGTGCATGATGATATTACAACAATCTCCAAATACACTGAGCATAGCCAATAGACCACAAATTTGTGGCTGTTTTAAGCAGTATTTAAAAATATATAGAAACACCAAAAATAGGCTATATCAGGAAGCAATCTGATACTCAAATAAATAGAAAATTTGCATTTTAATGTCACATTGAATTTTAGTACATTTCAATCCAAGAAAAAACTGACAGACATAATAATGAGTACAGGATTATGTATATTACAATATGCCTTGTTATAACACATTTGTGGCTTTATGATAAAAAAACCTCAAGGGCAGATGGAGTTTGAGCTCATTTAAGTAATTGTCAGGAACAAAGCATTAAATGCATTTCTGAAATAAGTACTTTTATTTAATTTCAAAATCTTAAAACAGCATTAGACCTTGGCCTTTTCTTTTAAAAAACAAATTTAGTTACCACGGAGCTAGCTAAGTAAGTATTCTGAAAGGTTTAAACAATATAGAAAATGCTTTTCCCAATTTTACATACAACGAAGGGATAGATGATTTCAAAAACAGCACCTATGGCTAACTCCATGTTGACCTTGACCTAGAAATGCACATTACTGATCCTGACAAGGAATCCAGCAAATTTTGGAAGTTGTCCATTTCACATGAAAGCAAGAGAAAGGGTTATCGTATGCAAAAATATTTTTCAAACTGTTCTTAACGTGTAATTGAAAACTAAAGGCATGGTCTCTTCATTATAAAAAAATAAAGGTACAACAGAAACTCTAAAGGAAGATACTCAGCTATACTGAAGTTGCAACCCTCTGAAAAGAAAGAAAAAGGAAAAAAAGTCAATTAGCTAAGCTTTGTGCTCTAACCAAACTACTTACAGTGATTTTCAATGGCAAAAGCCCATGCTGACTGGGTGATTTGACAGTTCCAGATACTTTTTGTATTAATTTTTATTTGTATACAAGGACACTAAAATGATCCAGTCATGCAATGTTCACTTTAAGCATTCTGCATCTCTTTTCCAATCTTATAGCTAAGGATCTTGTTCCAGTCAATCTTGGTGCGGGTAACTGGCAATTGTCGACGTAAGGCCTTGAAAGTAGTGTCCGACATAGTCTGATAATTCTCACTGATAGCAGTCTGTTAAACACAAAGTCATACAAAACAAAGACGCATGAAGAACAGGGCTAGGATGTTATATAAAGAGTTAAATGATTGAGTAGTCTGTTACCTCTTAAACAGGCTTAATAAAAGTATGCTAAATTAAAATAATATTTTATGAAGGAAAGCTGTTAGATCCAGACTGAAACTATGGGAAGAAAATTAGTGAGACAGATGCAATAAACCTGGCTGTAGCCTAGGTGTTTCAGCAAACCACAGTGTGGTTAATCAGCAGCATGAATAAAGTGCTGATCAGCGTTAGCTCATACATCATTAATTCCAGACACCAAAGTCTTCCACTGTTTTTCCTGTGGGGATGGTAGTCAGTCCACAACATTGTATGAACTTGAATATAATGCATATGATACACACTTAGTAAATTTTTATTATTAAAGAGCATTTTTTTAAAACTGACAGAACATGGTGTCTGAAATTTACCTTATGTTCAAGACCTAAATGAACACGAATCTACTTCTACAGCGTACATCTGGAACAGTTATACTTTTCTAACTTTAAAATAACTAATTGAAATGGATAATCCTCATATTTAGCAAAGCTGTCTACCAGAGTAACCTCTGCACAGAATCTGTGCAAAAATTCCACTTAAGGAATGCACTAATACTGAACGAGAACAGAATTGCCGATATTTGATCATGCTAGGGACTTTTCTGCTCTCAAAAAAATGACTTCTAACGTAACATTAAGTAGGTAAGTGCAATCACCAGAAGGTACGGAAAGGAAGGATACAGTTAATAGCAGCATGTAATCTATTCATATTTGTATGGAACTGCATTATCTTAATATCAAAAGCTTGCTAATTATAGAATACTAGCTTTGGTTAAGAATATGGTAATGTTATACATGTGAGTAAGGATACAGTGTTTGTTTCCAACATACCTGATATTCATTTTCTGCAGCCTCTACGATTTTTATAAATTCCTTCGCTGTCTGGGCTTCATTCTAGAAAAAGAGCATTTGAATTAGGTCTGATGTACAGCATGATTCTACGACCAGTTGGATTATGTTTTTCCTTGTAGTTATGAGAGATGTCAGGTAGACCCCATGAGAACACATGACCATTTAGAGGCTAAACCAAAACTGAACAAAACATTCATCCAAAAGGCATATGCTACATTATTATTATATTATTATAATCTTAGAAAATATAAACAGTCCAACTGCAACAAGCATAAAGATTACCATGAAGCTCATTAAAATATTTTAATTTAAAATTCTATGGTATGATAAAAAGACATATGGAACAGAACAGCATTTGGAAATATGACAATGCACACACACAAGTCTCTAAAAACATGCAAAGTATGGATATTAATAGTATCAATGTTAAATTTCCAGTACAAATTCAGGAAAACTTAAAAGAACACCAGCTAACCCAGAAGTATGCAGACTACAACCAAAAAACCAAAACAAATTTGTTCACCTCTAAACATTCTGAATCTGGAGACTAAGCTGAGGCAAACACTAGACTTTATATACCGGATCTTCTAAAAACATCCCCAAGTACGTCTTGCAAAAATGAGGGTGCAACACACCACAAAGTCCAAATTTCATCATGACTGATAAACAGTTTCTTGGCTTTGGGCCTCATCTTTAAGTATGCAAGTGTGTGTTTGTTTCAAAAAATGACCTGTCAGTCAATCTGGAGACAAATTAGCTGAAGTGCTTGAAAGAAGTCTCAAGAAGGAAGTGAGGGTTCATGAATTTCAAAACTTCCAACTTGGCGTTGGAAACATTTCTAAGGGTGCTTTTGCAGAAGCTGTTGAAAGATAGGAGCGTTCTTGCCCCACATGATCCCTCGTTCCTACAGAGGCAAAGACTGGGAGAAAGCTATGGCAGCTTCAACTACAACTGGTTCAGAGTTTCAGTGAAACCACCTAGCAGCTGTGAAAGCGCTCCTGGACACCACAGAAAGAGATGAAGGAGGAGGCAGAGACCAAGTAGAAGAAATGAAAGGGTTTTGACTTTTCAGTGAACTGAGGCAATGATTTCAAAGGCTCTGCTAATGAAAGGAAGAATTCAGGAGTATGAGGTCTTATTTGGCTCAGAGAGAAATTAGGGATAAGAACGTAACCTTCAGCAAAATTATTCATAGCTCTAGCAACAAGAGAACTCTCCAGTCGTTTACTTCAGTTGCGCCCATTGATGGTACAAAATTTTTTCTCTACCAAACAAAAAAAAAGAGGAGTCGTTGGGGCTCCTTTTAATCTACCTCCCATTCCTTCTGTGTGAAATAAGAACCTGTACAGCCTCTGCCCTCTATGAGGCTCAAAGCCAAGGCTAAAAAATTGGTA